AAAAAAAAAAGAAACTTAAACCAAACCTACCGAAATCTCCTTCTCATCAACCGGCGCGCCCACAGACCGTCTACAAAACCATTAGTCCCCAACATAGATCAAAACAATACATATAGAAAGATAGAAAGGGAAGAAATAGATCAAACTCACAGAACAGCATCCAACTCCTTCTTCTTCTCCACCCGAGCCTTCTGCTTTCGCACCAGCGCCTCCCTCCCCGTCCACCACTGGCGCTCATGATCATGCTGGCGCTGAATCAGGAAGCGAATCTTCCGCTGCAGGTCTTCGTTGGTGGAGAGGGTGCGCATAATGCTTTTCAACGCAGGGGGCCAGGTGGTGATTGTGGAGGTGTTGGGGAGGTGGAAGGTGGGTTTTTGGTGCTGGGGTTGGGGTTGAGGTTTGGGGTGGGGGATGTTTGGGGATGGGGTTAGGGGGATGATGGTTTCAGAGGGTTCGTAGGGGTCCGTGTCGTCTTCTGGGACATTTTGAGTGTTCTTGTTGGAGATATATGGTGGTGGTGGGTGTTGTTGTTGTAGGTGCGCTTGAGCTTGGACTTGAGCTTGAGATTGGTTGGATAATGCGGAGAGGGTTGCTAGGACGGAGGAGAGATCGGGGGTGTTGTCCGACATTTTTCTTCTCCTCTCTTAATTTCTTGCCCAGTTCAATCCTAGAGTATTCTCTGGACGTCCCAACCCAGTTCAATCATAGATCAGAAACTCGGGTAAGGCGTTGCAGCTCTGGGGGACGTCAGATGCCGCCGTACAATCACTCCACACCGATTGGCCGCCCGACGCTTCCCGCCTAGACTCCTTTCAGCCAGTCCAACAACGGATGAAAATTTGCCGGAAGATCCTCACGCATCAACAATCACGCCGAATCGAATGCTCTGACTGCTCCCCTCCAACTAGCTCGGTGTGTTCCGATTCGTAACCACTCCCCTATACTACACCTCCGCCTCTCCTCTCCTGCCGACACGCCAGAAAATCCAACAAAAGACTAAGGGGGAAAAAAACAAAACAACATCACGCCATGTCCCGATCCGCCGCAGACGCAACCCGCTTCACGGCCACAGGCCCCTACGCGCATTCCAAGCCCGGTGCCGCCCCCTACAAGCTCCCCGGGTTCATGGCGAACGCCCAGTCGCAGGGATCCGGCAACGGCGGTCGTCCGGAGACGCCGAAGGAGAAGGTCGAGCGGTTGCGGGCCCAGGCTAGGGCGGCACGGATGGCGCAGTCGACGTCGCGCGTAGATAGCCTGATCGATTTCGGGAGACGGTTCGCCAACAAGGCGCATAAGACGATGGTTTATACGCTGATTGCGGCTTCGGGTGAGTATTCTATCTTCGTTCCCTCGTTCGGAACTCTCGTCTTTGTTACGTAGTCATGCCATGCCCAGGGCAGGGCAGGGCATGTTATGCTACTGTGCGTGGAGTAGGACGGATGTGGCTAATGGGTCACTTTGTAGGTATCTGCGGAGCGTTAACGGTCTACTCGATGGTGTCTCTTACGTTATATAACCGTCGCCAACGGGCGCTGTGGATCGAGAAGGAATTGAAGACGTTGCAGGATGCGAAGACGGCGCATGCCAGCGGAACCGCCACACCGGCACAGCTGGAATTGCTCAAGAACGAGAAGATCGGCGAGATCTACGAACAGAAGAAACAGGAGGAGAAGGCGCAACGGCCCTGGGCGAAGTTCAAGCGGTATTTGTTTGACGGGTTGAGTTCGGAGGAGGCGGCCGCGAAGGTGGAGGGTGCGACAGAGAACAACAAGCCGGGGGTTCTGGAGGCGTTGAATGCGAAGGCTGCGGAGGAGGCGAAGGCTGCTGTTGCTGCCCCTGCTGCTGCTGTGCAGCAACCGGGTCAGTTGGATGCTCTGGCGGAGAATGCAGAGACTGCGGCGAAGCAGACGTCGAAGAGCTGGAAGAGTTGGCTTACCGGACGGTAAGGATGTGAGAGGTGAGCGTGTAAAGTATTGATGATGGGCGGATGAGGTGAGATCGTTCTCGATGATGTTCCACTTGGGCTATTTTTTTTCTCTTCCGTGTTTCCTTTGTGTGTTGCTGTTGCATGGCATTTGGTCTCTTTTCCCTTCTCCTTGTATTCCACCGATTTGGGCTGCTGGCGTCTGTTTGGTGTGTTTTGAGCCGATGTAATACTGGGTCCTCTCGTCATATTGTGTACATATACTTTCCGTCATTATCTGGGTTATTGGTTTCGGCCCAAGATATGAAAAAAAACTTAGAGCATGGGGTGCGAATCTACAGGTGCGAGTGTGAATAAGATTGGATCACAACACGATGGTCTCTGTTCGGACAGGGACTATTCCAGATGCCGCTCGAAAGCAAGATTCATTCAACATAACAATTTTGGGTAAAACTTTTTACACACATTATCTCTACTGTGTTTCAAACAATCGAATCGACTATCCAAGAACGATCGTCGAAAGGCGGCAGCCCACCAAGAAGCCGAAAGATGAAGAGGAGAAAAGAAAAAGCACTACAGCCCTGGTATCTTAAACGAAGCCGTCCTCAAAGACAAATAAATGGAATGCTTCTGTGACCAACACGATTCAACTCATTGTATTCAAGCGCTGGATGCCTTCGCGGCACGTCGAACGCGGACGGCATCGGCGAGATCCTCCAACACGGTGACGGTGGTCTCCCAGTCAATGCAGGCATCCGTGATGCTGACACCCTTCTTGAGACCCTTCGGGCCCTCGGCGGGGACCTTCTGGTTGCCCTCATGGATGTTGGACTCGATCATGACACCGACAATCGCGTCCTGGCCCTCGCGCATCTGGTCGGCGACTTCCTTCGCCACCAGAGGCTGGTTGCGGTGGTTCTTGTTAGAGTTGCCGTGGGAGCAGTCGACCATGAGCACCTCACGCTGCTTCTTGCCGCGCAGGGCTTCGCGAGCCTGGCGGATGCTCTCCCGGTCGTAGTTGGTACCCTTGCTGCCTCCACGCAGGATCACGAAACCGTGTTCGTTACCCGAGGTCTTGGTGATGGCCGCGAGACCCTGCTTGGTGACACCGAGGAAACGGTGGGGGTGAGCGGCAGCACCAATCGCGTCAATGGCAACGGTCAGGTTGCCATCAGTACCGTTCTTGTAGCCAATGGGGAAACTCAGACCGGAGGCCAGCTCACGGTGCAATTGGGACTCAGTCGTACGGGCACCGATGGCGCCGAGGGAGATGAGATCCGCAAGGTACTGAGGGGAAATGGTATCGAGCATCTCACTGGCAATAGGCATGCCCATGCTGGTCAGATCGGCGTAGAGCTTACGTGAGATCCGCAGACCTTTGTTGATGTTGTAGGACTCGTCAATATCCGGGTCGTTGATCAGACCCTTCCATCCGACGGTGGTGCGGGGCTTCTCCAGGTAGGCGCGCATGATGATGCACAGGTCGGAGGAGAGCTTCGTGGCGAGCTCCTTGAGACGGGTGGCATATTCCAGAGCAGTGACAGGGTCATGGATGGAGCAGGGGCCGACCATCACCAGAAGACGGTCATCGCGCTGCTCAATAATCTCAACAGCTTGGTTACGGCCCGAGCGGACAGTGGCAGTGGCTTCTGCAGGCTATGTTTGGACGCATGATGATTAGCCTGAAAAATCTCTAAATCGTGCCATCGGCCTTCCCCGAGCAAGAAATATCTTTCTGCCCTAGTGAAGGTGTGTGTGTGCCTCGGCAGGGAAGTGGGGTGACTCACAGCTGGGATCTCGGACTGAAGGTACTGAGGGGACAGCAAAGGATCGTATCCAAGGACTGGTCGAGATCAGAATCATACCATCCGAGGGGAGGCGACCTTCGAGGAGCGATTACTTACCACGAGTGTCCTCATTGAACTCCGTTGTGTTAATGAGGGGCATTGTGTTTGTAGCGGGGAGGAAGTCTGAAGAATAGAAGAGGGGAGGAAATTTGGAGTTAGGGGAGGAGTTGACAGGATATTCGAGAGGCAACAAGCGACTCAGGAAGGAGTAGGATTGGCAGATCCTTTATAGTGCAGAGTACTCCGGAGACGAGTGATAGTGAGAAGGTCAATGGCATGCAGAAGTTGCGATCAAAATCGACAACAGATGGTGATCAATCACCTTGAATAGTAAAATTGCGTACCGAGTGGGGCCGCGAATGATTCACACACACTGGAAAATTTTAGGTTGACCACTCACAGCCCTGCAATCCCGGCCAGTCCGGCCGGTGTGATAAATACCAATACGCCGACGCCCGTTTTTTCGGTCTCCCAGAACCCTGGCAACGACTAAGGAGTACTGTGTAGTAGTTAGTATGCCTGAAATAGGTTGTATATACGGTTTTGTACAGAGTACGCAAATACAGTCAGATCTACGTACATCTCACGACGACTATCCATGGATATCCTGTTGCACTCTAGGGTAGACGAAGATTAGTATACACCTAGCAATACCTCATTCTTCTCTTCAATGCCTGCAATTGGCCCAAATCTCCGTCACTCCCGAATGACATACACCTGGACGGAGGTTTATGATGCGTCTTACCTCCATCCAGCTGGCACCAGATCCGTTCCCCAGGCTAAGTACCACTTGACCAATCGCTTAGAACAGCACAGATCCCTTTCTACCACTAGTAGTATCTGACATGGTTGGTGTTACAGATGGTTCCTCGTTGGAACTAATCGACTAGAATTTCCCCCGAACATCAACTAACTAGCCAAGCGAGTCAATATAGATGCACGCATGTATATCTAAAACACCGATTAAACTTAGTGCACACGTATGCCAAGTACGCTGAGCATAGCGGAAGATACTACCTCTACACCGCTGTATTTGCTCATTGTAGTCCAAGTTTCACTCATAGGACATACCGAAGACTACTTCTGGGGGTACACCGCAGAGTGAACAGTCGACGTCGACTGCAGTCCTGTACACACACTACACCAAGTTCGAGACTAATCAAACCCCCAGGATTAACAAGCTGGTTCAGCCACTCGTGCTCATTGGATGCCTGAATTCCCGGTAACCCTGTTGGGTAAGCGCCCCCATTGGTATCATTGATCGTACATGCACGTTGGATATATATCGATGTATTGTCTTCGAAGCAAGTCGGAGTAAAGAAAACCAGCCCCTTGCATGGTCTGTAGAACGATTGGCCCTTGGATTGAGAAAACCATGAGTCACAAGTTCAACCAGGAGGAAGAGAAATGAAAACAAGCATTGCAGCAAATAACAACAAAGGCGATGATCAAGCACTCCACATGTTGTTCCCCCCACTAAGACGTGCGTGGTTGATTAACTCCAGCTGAGGATAATCCAGGCTAAATATGGGGTGGGCCGCTTTCCCTCATTGGGGGCTACCCGTCCCACGCTAAAACGTTCGGGTCCGATGCAGGTGTAACTGAGTGATATCGCCAGACTGCGTCCGTTCTCACCCTCCACTCCCTAGTGTCTATCTTTCCCGTGGGTTGTTGACCCTACTACTCACTGAGTTATTGGATATGATACAGTAACCTCTATTTATCCAACAATCCCGCCGTTGTTTCTGGAGACTCCATTCGCTAGAGTCTCCTGGAGGCCGCCATCACCTGTGTTCTTGGCCATCGGAGCTGAATGGTCCTGCATTCAACGCGGTCCATACCTTTACATTCTCTCATCTACCACGGAACTAGGCCACTAAAGGGACATGTTCGGTTTCTCGTCCAAACGTCCAAGGGGCCATGAAGAGCTTGCCGATTTTGCAGGTAGCGCCATCCACGAGAGAAAGGTTTGTTTGCCTCTGGTTCTGTCGCTTCCATGGCCCTGCTGCTGACAGTTGAGCATGTAGAAACACCGTTCTTTAGCTCTCCGCACATCCCCACACTGCTCTCAGAAACCCACCTCTACCGAAGCGAACCAAGCTATTGCGGAGTTCGGTTTATCTACGTTGACGCCGGTGGAATCCTCAGATGATGACGATGGTAGTGTCAGACAGAGAAAGCACGTGCGCGCCGGCTTGACTCATAGTAAGGGGGAGCTGCCTCACCAGGTAGCCCATTGTCACGCTTCCAATACAGCAATGGATATAGACCACGACAGAGACATGCTGCCGCCGACCGGTGATTGCACCCAGTACCCATGGCCAACCAGTGCACGCGGCAATGAGGATATTCAACCGTCGCCCATCCCTCACAGTCTCGTTAATCAGTATCTGACCATCAGTGAGCGACATGCTGCAACTTCCGCGTATGGATATTTCCCCCCAATGACGAGCGATCATGATTCTACGCCGTCTACACGCCACCCGACTTCTCAGGGCGCAACTCCATCTTGCTTTGATATTCCGCGCCCCCCCAGCCCAGTCAGTGACGGTGAAGATGCGATGGCAAGCATCAAAGACACTGCGAGTGACGTGGATATGGCCTACAACCCGTCTCGCCCTGCCTCATTCTCTCCCTCCATATGGATAGGGACGGAGCGGAGCTCGCCCAACATGCAGGAGGCCATACCGTCAATTGACAGTGTGAGAGACTCGCTATCGGAATTCAAGTCAAAGAATGCGTCAAGCAAGAAGAAAATCACTATCTCCATGGGCTTTCGAGCCGACTGTGAAAAGTGCCGGTGCAAGGTGCCAGGCCACTACAGTCATATCATCCGCACTTAATATGGCTCTACGGTTCCCCGCAACTGTCATGATCAATATCCCCTGTACATTATTCCGTTTGTTGATACCCGGATTGGAAAGGAGTTATCGAGTGGGTAATGAGATCCATTATACATGATGTCGTTTTTTTTCAAGGCGTTGGGGAAGGTGGGGTTGGCTTTATCCAATTTACTATTAAGGTGGCAATGGGCTTGTGTATAGCGAAGTTCATTTTGAATGGAGAAAAGACCATGAAGTCCGGATGTCCGCGTATTCTGGGTAAATCAGCGGCCAACTTAAGTTCCTTGGTGGAATACCCATCTTCCGACAAATCGTTCCGATGCGGCTGACATAAGCGAGTCTATCCGACGCACGGAACGGAGGCATTCGCGCAGTCAAACGACCAAGACTCCGGGGATAGGTCCTTCATCACCATCAGTTTTTGGCCAAATTCATGAGTACTTTGCTGTTCACGCAGATACGAATGGTCAGACAGCGAACAGACAGCGTCCACAGTGGCCGTGTTACCAGGGAGATTCCTATTCGTAGTATTTAAGGTGACCGACTCCAAATGATAAGATCGGATCTCCACACTGTTCCCCAGCCCGGGCGGCAGAAGCCTTAGCCGATCTTCGTTGCCGGCAGTTTGGATGGCAAGCTCTCAAGGGCCATGTCCACTTTCAGAGGGCCCGCTCCCGGAATTATGTCCGGCAACCGATCCTTTTTCATATAAATGTTCTTCTTCCTCTTCTTTCCCCGGAATTCAGCTTGTTGTGCGCGTTGACATCCACTAGAGTCTATCAAGATGGCATCTCCAATTCCCCGGGGCCTCCGCCAGGTCCTCCAGAAGTCCCCCAATGACATTGTGATCCTTTCCTCCCTGCGTACCCCCGTTACTCGCGCGAAGAAAGGCGGTTTCAAAGATGCCTACCCCGAAGAGCTGCTCGCCAATGTTCTGAAGGCTACCCTCGAAGCGAACCCCAAACTCGACCCCGCCCTGATCGAGGAAGTCGCCATCGGCTCCGTTCTCCAAGAGCTCGGCGGTGCGAAGGCTGGCCGTATGGCTCAGATCCACGCCGGCTTCCCTCACACGGTTCCATTCCATACCATCAACAGACAATGTTCGTCTGGTCTCGCCGCTATTACCGCGATCGGCAACGGAATCAGGGCAGGTGCCCTGAACATTGGTGTCGGTGGCGGAATGGAGTCCATGACCCGGAATTACGGATCTCGCGCGATCCCCACCGTGCTCTGGCCCGAGCTCAAGGAGTCGCCGTCGAAGGACTCTCGGGATTGCATTATGCCTATGGGTCTTACCTCCGAGAACGTTGCTTCTCGTTATGGTATCTCGCGGGAGGATCAGGATGTCTTCGCCGCGGAGTCACACAAGAAGGCTACTGCTGCGCAGAACGCTGGTCTGTTCGACTCTGAAATTGTGCCGGTCAAGACCCTCTCCTTTGACCCTGAAAACCCCGATGCGCCCCCGAAGGAAATTACCGTCACTAAGGATGACGGGATTCGCCCCAACATCTCCGTCGAGAAGATGGCCAGTCTGAAGCCAGCCTTCTCTCCGACTGGTGCCAGCACCGCCGGAAACAGCTCGCAGGTCAGCGACGGTGCTGCCGCTGCACTTCTCATGCGCCGTTCCACCGCGACCGAACTTGGACTGACATCCTCCATCAAGGGCCGCTGGGTCGGCACCGCTGTTGCTGGTTGTGCTCCCGATGAGATGGGCGTTGGACCCGCGGTTGCGATTCCCAAGCTCCTTCAGCAGCTCGACATGAGCGTTTCAGATGTCAACATCTGGGAGATCAATGAGGCCTTTGCCTCCCAGGCGCTCTACTCGGTTCGTAAGTTGGGTATTGACGAGGCCAAGGTCAACCCGAAGGGTGGTGCTATTGCCATCGGTCACCCGCTCGGTGCGACTGGAGCTAGACAGCTCGCCACTCTCCTGCCCGAGCTGGAGCGTACCGGCCAGGAAGTCGGTGTGGTCAGCATGTGCATTGGAACAGGTATGGGAATGGCTGGTATGTTTGTTCGGGAGTAGACTTGTAAAGATTAATGGCCGACTTTAATATCCTATGAGCGAGCGTATATGCATGTACATATAAATTGAAAATTTTCAAGCTTCTATAAAATACCTTCACCAAGACACTACGTATTCTATAATGTCTATACTTTTAATTCTCGATTTTTGTGTAATATTTTCTCAATGTGAACGCGAGCCATGAAATGCCAAGCCCCGGACGACAGTCCACGTGACCGAGTGCGTGGAAGAGCCTCCGAACGGGAATCCTGAAACTTTTCGAATGCTGGCTGAAGTCCGCAATTCGTATCACACCACCGCCATGCGTCCCTCATTGCGGCTGTTAAACCTGGAGGTATCGTCCCTCCAGGGCTCTCGGACCCTCTACGTCTGCTCAGTGTGCAGACAAGAAGCACGCCCACGCCCATTGGTCGCCCGGCAATTCCTGCGCAATGCGTCCAACGCAACCCCGATCACCGAACGAGTGCGCCGCAAGATCTGGGGTACAGACAACCCGCCCGGTCTGAAGGATCCCTATGGGGGAGAAGGAGTTCTGGAACGGAAATTTAGGAAAGACCAGCCGGCTAGACAGGAGGAGGAGCCGGAGAACCTCACCCAGGCCTCCGAACAAACTCAAGTCGAGAATGAAGCGGAGCTCGCTGCCGCTGAGGCGTATGAGCCGGCAACCACATGGGAGGGACTTCCGCGTGTGGGCCACTTGGGCAGGTGGTCTGACTTGCCTCCTACTGAGGCCGACGGATATGAATCGTACGTGTCCCTGTCGTTTCGCGGACTCTTGGGGTCACGCTCGAGTCAAGCTGTTTATGCCGGTCAATGGGACGGAATAGAGGCAGACTCTGACTAACTGGCATGTAGATTTATGCTCAAAAAGAAAGTCACCAAGAAGGGTCAAGTGTCCCTAGCCGCCCACCAAGCAGCAGTCGAAGTTTGCCTGATGCACGCCCTGAACAAGCCTTTGTCGAAGGTTTGCGATGTCGTCGAGCACGATAAGTCGGTTTTCAAGATGCTCTGGAAGTGCAAGATCCAGCCCGGCCAATGGAGCCAGGCCGTGGTTTATCCTAGCAAGGAAGCCGAAAAAGCCCTCGTTTATATCTTCGAACAGATCGGCGGTCAACCAGAGCCTGCCGTTGCACAAGAGACCGCGGAGGCCGAGGAGGCCGTCGAAGAGTCCAAGTGGGAAGACCTCGTGCCGGAGGTGAATGTTCCCTTCTTCGGATACGCTGATGTTCGGGACAAGGGCTTCCTGTCTCTCCCATTGGACGATCCTGCTACGAAGTTCGCTGTAAGTGCTTCCATCTATCCCTAATTCGTTGCGTTACGCGGTTGCTAACTCAGTCATGCCATAGTTCTTGAAGCGGTTCTCCCAGCTGAGCGGCCACTACCTCCCGGATCCTGTCGTTCACTCGGTTGCCAACGTCGGACAGGTAGTTGAATACATCCAGTCGGCTCTTAACCCCAAGCCTAAGAAGCTGGCAGAATACCTGGCCAACAGCCAAGGTCTCCACAACCTGCCCAACGTCAAGGTCTTTGCCAAGAAGCAGAAGCCAATGGACCGGGACGAGGAGTTGGGCCGGAAGAAGGTCATCGAGGCTGAGCTTCGCTCCAGAGGGCTTATTGAGTAGGTTGCTGAACGACATGAGCCCATTGTTTAGTCACCGTTCTTGTAGCATGTTAATTGCAGGATATTTTGTACTATAGAAATGAAAACCTTAGTTTATCTTATGTTACTAATGTAACTATACATGTACAAATCTCATCTATCCCAAAAATGTAAAAAAAATTCAACATTAACCGGTCCAGTAGCCGATATAAGCAGCCCAAGCAAATCCGTACGCCGTCGAGCCAATTGCGCTAAACCCAATCACTTCCTAGAGCCTGCAGGAAGAGTAAAGCCCCTGGTCATAAAATCGGTGTTCTTCATTTTGCCGTCTTTGGAGTCCTTCGTAAAGAGACTATTCAGATTATCATTCAGACCCATCATCTTCCGCCGCTTCTTCTTTTCATTCTCCTCCTCCAGGACCCGGGCAGTCAGCATCGCCGTCGCCGCATGTTTAATGCCATCCGACGCACGAGGCTTAGGAGTAGATGTATTGCTGCGACTCGCACCCTCCGTTTCAGCAGAATCCCCATTAGCCTGCTTCTTACGCTTCTTCGACCCAGGCGCCTTCTTCAGCGAATGCGTCAACCCCTGTTCGGCCAATTTCTGCGCCCTCGCCACAAGCTGCTGCTTCTCCTCACTTTTCGTTGGTAAAATAGGAATGACATTCTCCTCCGTGTACGATTCATTGCACTGCAGACACTTATCCCCCTTCAGCTGGCGTACAGCCTCCTCAGAGAACACATGACCGCAGGGCACAAGATAGACGGCCTTGACATTTGGCCCGAGCTGCTTAGCAGTGACTGGGCAAATCCAACCCTCTTGCTTGTCGAGCTTAGTCGAGGGGTGTTGGTTTTGTTCGGTGTCGATCTCGAATTTCAGCTCGACTACGTCCCGGAGGCCCTTCACCCGTCCGCCGAGGATCTCTTCGCAATCGGCCTTGGAACTGATTCCTTCGATCTCTTCGCCAGGAAGGAGGAATTTGAGAATAGCGTCTTTGTTATACATGTTCCCGACGCAGTCGGCCACTATCGGACGCATTAACGGCTTGTGGGACAGAGGACATGTCGTCCAGTAGTGTTCTTGGAGTTCGCGCTGGGCTTCTTTGACTTGAGCTGTGCTGGGGGCGCGCGCGGCTTCGCGGACGAGCTCGCGGCGGGTGGGGATACTGTCGTTCAAGCGTTAGATTTCCCTCCTGCATATCCTTAGATAAACGGGACGGTATACTCACCTTCCACCGTCATTACCCATATTTCTTCACTGGTTTAGTATAGAAGAAATCAAGAATCTAGAAATGCGGCCGTGAGTCAAGTAAAGCGAACTTCTATCGGCAATTTCGCCGCCTTGATAACGGCGGCTGACTAAGAGAGGGCCCGCCCTCCCCAGATCTAGTTTAGTCTAGAATCGCATACAAGCTAAAGGTGGCCAGAAGCTCTCTCCGCATTTGTATACGACGTTTGTTCGGTACACCCGCATTGGCGCGATAAAACGCTCAATGCTCCCATCATGATACTGCCTCAGGGATCGCTGTTCTTTGTGAGCTTGGCAGCATGCTCGACCGCCGTTGTTGCGGCGAGTAACGACGGCTCCGCACGTCCTCGGGGTGTTGGGCCCGAATGTGAGTGGATGTTCTTCTATTGTCTACTTATGTGTTAAAGTTTTGTTTGGATTGGCCATACTGTTCTGGCCTTGGCGGTGTATGATCTGTGGTTTCTTGTTGTGGTTTTTGGGTGTGTTTTGCTGGATTATGCTGGTGCATACAGGGCTAACATGGGAGTGTTGTTGTTTGACTAGTCGCGAAGTTCTACAAGGACACCGACACATTTACCTGCATCTCGCACCCCGCTATCAAGGTCCCCTTTTCCGCCGTCAATGATGACTACTGTGATTGTCCGGATGGTAGTGATGAGCCTGGTACTTCAGCCTGTGCTCATCTATCCAATAACTCGCCGTTGACGGCCGCTGACCGTCCTGGGAATAACGACCTCGATCTGACGCTATCTCTGCCCGGGTTCTACTGCAAGAATAAGGGTCACAAGCCCTCCTATGTGCCCTTTCAGCGGGTCAATGATGGGATCTGTGACTATGACCTATGCTGTGATGGGAGTGACGAGTGGGCTCGTGTCGGGGGCACCAAGTGCGAGGACAAGTGCAAGGAGATTGGCAAGGAATGGCGAAAGAAGGAGGAGAAGAGACAAAAGTCGATGACGACTGCGCTGAAGAAGAAAAAGGAACTGCTGACTGACGCCGGAAGGCAGCAGAAGGAGGTCGAGGAGAGCATTAACGGACTGGAGGTTCAGATCCAGGGCCAGGAGATGAAGCTCAAGGATTTGGAGGCTGATCTGGAGGAGATCGAGAAGCAAGAGCGGAGCAAGGTGGTGACAGGCAAGAAGGCGGGCAAGGTCAATGTGCTTGCCCAAGTCGCCAAGGGCCGAGTTGAGGAACTTAGAACCGCGTTGGCTGAGGTCCGTAAGGAGAGGGATGAGACTCGCTCTCGCGTCAAGGAGCTCGAGGAGATTCTCTCCAAGTTCAAGGTCGAATATAACCCGAATTTTAATGACGAGGGTGTCAAGCGCGCTGTGCGCAGCTGGGAGGAATATGCCGCTAGAGGTACCTCTGAAGGCCTGGGGAACGCTGCCCGTGACCGTGATCTGGATGAGATTGCCAAGCCCGATGACGACAAGTCTGGCGTCAACTGGGAGCAATGGGAGAATGAAGAGGATGGATGTGAAGCCAATCCTGGTATGTGTTTTGAGTATAGGGTTCCCATTATGGATATTAACTGTAATCTAGTCTACCAGCTGGCAGCCTATCTGCCTCCCTCTCTTGTGAACTTCATTGAGGACAAGGTTCTCTCCATTCGAGGTTTCCTCGAGAAGAACGGCGTCCTGCCTACGAAAGACGAGGCTCCGCCTCCGAGTCCAAGGCAGTGACAGAGGCCCGTGACGCCGTCGATGCAACCCGCAAGTCCATCGAAGATTTGAAGAGGCAGGTAAAGGATCACAAGGAGGATCTCGATACGGACTACGGTGTGGGATCCATCTTCCGTGCTCTTAAGGGCGTCTGCATCCAAAAGGATGCCGGAGAGTACACATACGAGCACTGCTTCTTGGATCAGACTAAGCAGATCCCGAAGAAGGGCGGATCAACGGCACGCATGGGCAATTTCGTTCGCATTGGATCTGTCACCATTGATGAGCTCAACGAGTCCGGCGAGATTGTCCCCGAGGAGAGGATATCTCTCGAGTACGCCAAGGGACAGACGTGCTGGAACGGCCCTGCTCGGTCCACGAGTGTCATCTTGCAGTGTGGCGAGGAGAACGAGATTCTGAAGATTGCTGAAGACGAGAAATGCGTCTATTCAATGCTCGTCAACACCCCTGCCGTGTGCCCAGGGGGAGAGGAAGACGCCCATGCAGCCTCGGGCCGCAAGGATGAACTGTGATGTGACAGGTTAGCAGTGCATATATATACCGAGTTTCTCCAAGCATTGTTGTCTTTCCTTTTCTGTTTTAGGTCCTCGCGTCTAGCCTATTTCTCGCCGCTTTGTGCTCCCTGAATAGATCCCCGCATACTCTGAGCAGATCACTGAACTGGGCTAAAATAGATAGAGAGATAGCGTGAGTGAGGTAGCTTGAATGGAATGCTTACTCTAGAGGAGTGACACTTCTATTCCTGTTGTTCGGCTTCTTTTCTTAGTCTAGCTATCTCAGGTGTTCTATTAGACCGAGTATGGCTCATAGCTTGATATAAATTAAATAGTCCAGTAAAAAGAATGATAGAGCTCGGCTCGGTCCAATGCATTTATAACGCTCTGAACTATTTTTTTTTTTAAAAAAAAAAAAAAAAAAAAGAAAAAAAAAAAAAAGAATGGTATGATAAGTACAAAATAGTAAAACTTGATAGTAGAAAGGCAATTCTTCTCTTGATCACAGGACCCCACAGAGAAATTTACAGGACACATATTACACGCGTAATGCAAGGCATCTATAGGGTTGTATAAGGTTAGCGTCTCCCGGCCCTCAGCAGCGCCCCGGTAGATCGTCCGCTAGCCTTGGAATCAGCGGCCCGCCTGGCAGTTGCTAGTCACTGCCAGAGCCACGGAGATCCCTCGGCCGTTGGCCCAAGAACGTCCAACATTTTAATATCTCTCCATAGAGGTCTATTCTTCATAATGGATTGAGAATTTTGGAGTATTTGTTTCCCTTACATAATCCGAACATTGGCTCGATCGCGCTCTTTGCCCCCTATTCTATCTACCTACTGTCGTGGCTACACAAATCTAGAATGGCCTATTGTCCGACGGTGACATCCGGTGGAGTCTAGTATGGGAAACCCGGACGGCCGCCCAAGGAACCGACGAAAGTAAGAGAAGCGATTCATAGTCAAGGTACTTTCATTAAAATTGGAAATGTCTACTCAACTCGGTTTCTTTTCTAAGAATGTTTGAAGGGATGGGCTGCAGTTCAAGTCTCAGGTGCTTTTCAACACCTTCATGGACATGTTGTAGTCACGTGTCTACGGTGGACTAAATCGAGATTCCGGACAAACCATGAAAATGATATTCCTTACGATGAGCCGCGTGCTATTATACCAACTCATTCGGTCGATATATAAGGTTAGCCTTCCTTTTTGACTTGATCATGCGATATTTTACCGCCTTGGAGGGCCTTTAGGGGCTGCCAGTACTAAATCTTTAGGGGGCCCTTTAGCGCTCTAGGCCTCCCGGGGTACCATAAACCTAAAGCTAGTCGTTCAGTTGCTCCCCAAGCCACACCGATTGATACGGCTTTTTCTTGACTTTGGGGTCCTTCACATTCAATTAGTGGTGGTTTTGGTGGATCGAATTCTATCTCGTACTGCAGTTTTCTCTTCCCTTGCACATTTGTCAGTGCTCAGCGCCCACTGCGCGCCATTTTTGTTTTATTTCTTCACATGCTCTAGCGTGACATTGCCCACAATCGTGTAGAATCGCTTGATGACAGAGGTCATGTCGTTCCAGATGTACGAAAGGATAAATCTGGGAGAGGCATCAAAGGAGTTGATGTCGAGAGTAACTAACGAATCAATATGATTCGTCTAGCGAACTGTTTCTCTGGGGACACTTTGTGGCTTGCATTTTCTAGAACCAGACTAGGTTTCGCTAGGAAACCAAGAGGGGCGGACTTCACTCTATTAATTGAATATCTGTCTATATTCAACGTCAGGAAACACCCACATACAGCAGTACAATGGTTTCCAGGTCTATAGCCACAGCGAAGGGTATTTCAAATAAGAGCTAAGACCATAGCAGTGGTCAGTGATCCATGTCATATTGCGGAAGCGATTGGACGCCAGTTTCCACTAGCGGCCTATACCCTAGACCCTCACAATTCGTTGGCCCATCCACGATCGTGGCCATCCTTGTCGGGGCAAGTAATAATATTATCACTTATGGCTTTATTTATCCCTACAAATCCGGGGTCTGGATCATGTAAAATACCGTAGTTTGGGTTTCACCCCAAGGGTGGTATAGTTATGACAGCCTACAGTTGTCAACATACTCTAAAGAATCTCACCTCATCCTGGCCGATTGTGTCCCACCCTTCATGCACGTTAATGAAGGTAACAAAGAATCAACCAGCACAACAATCTTGGCGGATGAACTAACGGGGTGTTGCCTCTCTTTCTCACTGGACCAGAACCTCGCCAGGAACAATAACGTACCCCAGTAGCGTCTCCCACTCCCCTCCCTATCCATAGGCAAACATAAAAGACAGAGATCAACCCTAACCTCCATACCCACCCCCAAACGACCTCCCCAATATTTCTTTGCCCTCATCGATTCAAATCTTTCGTTTGCTATCCTTCTCGCGTCATATCACCCGTTAACCTTCAGAATGCCAAACTCCAGCACCGCCATCGTGCTGCTCCACGGCGCTTTTCACACCCCGGCTCACTACGCGGAATTTACCTCCGCACTCAGGTCCAAGGGCTATGAAGTCCACGTTCCCCGTTTGCTTACTATGAACGGTGTGCGTCCCCCCAATGCAGATCTTTACTCCGACTCGGATTACATCCGCAGCTATGTGGAAAGCCTCGTCGAGGCCGGCCGGGAGGTCGTCATGTTCATGCACTCCTACGGCGGCGTGGTCGGCACCCACGCCTGGTGGGTCTAGGCGCAGAGACCCGAAAGCAACAGGGCCGGCCGGGCGGGGTCGTCCTGTTAATCTACCTATCTGCCTTCGCAGTTACGGAGAACAACTCCATGATGAGCGTCGTGAGGCGATTCGGGCATGAGGATCTGATGCCCCTGGCGTTCGACATCGCCGAGGATTACAGTACAGCGAGCCGTGACCCGAAGAAGCTTATCATTGGGCCTGGTCGGTCGGATGAGGAGACCGACGCTTACGTTGCGGCTATGCAGCGTTGGAATGGGAAGGCGATGTATCAGAATGCGGAGCGGTGTGCTTGGAGGGAGATCCCCGTGGCGTATATCTATGCCACGGAGGATATGAATGTGCCGATGGACTATCAAAAGTGGTTTGTGGAGAAGATGCGCGAGGAGGGTAGAGAGGTTGAGACGGTTGAGATCGAGACGGGGCACTGCCCTACTTTTACCAAGTTTGAGGAGACGGCGAAGATCGTGGATGGTCTTGTGAAGAAGCTTTGAAGGGTTGATGGCGTTGTCCTGTCCTTATGTGCTCATACGAAGTCCTGTATACTCAATTGACCTCCTGAGGCTCACAGCCAACCAGGCAAAACCTCTGCCTAGCTGACAATATCCCCATTAGCTACGGTAAAGTGGGATGCAAAGAGTTTTAAACCGTCCATGTATTGCCGGATTTAACTGCCTTCCTAATTATACTATTTTGATTGGTAGAAAGCTGCAAACTGTAGACCTAGGCCTCAATGCCTGGTATACCATGGCTATCCCAATAACTAGCGTCTCATTCTCTTCTAGAAGCTATGATTCAAGATATAGATAGATATTTATAGGTTCAAATACTGGATTTGGTGAGGTTGAAGTTGGTTTTAGATTTTTTGTGTCTTTCTCTACGAAGATGTACATATGTGATCATTAGACTTACATTACATTTAACATGTATGATAAATACGTCTAAACCCCTGATGGTCTAGTTGGATATGACGTCTGACTGTAATGGAATTTATAACCCTGTCATCAGAAGGTCGCTGGCTATTCCGGCTCGGGAGGCGACACTTTGTTTGAGATTGCTGGGCGGTGTATGTAGTCAATAGGGGTCATGATTTATCCCATACAAAGTGTATAGTTAGTGGGTTCGAATCCCACGGTCAAGCGGTTAGTGTCGACCTTTTTGCATCCCACTGTAACGGTCAACCTAGGACTATCCTTCGCACGATCAAGAGGCGCGAAGATCTCCATCGGAGAAAGAATATCCTGGACCGTATCACATTGGTCCATTGTAACCATGCAGTCGCCCAGGGGAAGGTATACTTGCGCCTGGGCCGTGTATCTCCTGGAAGGGAATCAGAGAGAAGGCTATTCCGTGACCCATATCCGTTGATTTGGAGAGGGACATGAAGCCAGTAACATTTGGCCCTTGAATAGATCCAGTAAGCTATAGCATTGGTCGCAATAAGAGATTACCTTTCGCGGGCCTCTTGATCTCCATGCAGTGGGTACTATATTTTGACCTTATCTGGGTGTCCTTGTTTCCAGCTCCTGCTGTCTATGAAAGAATGACTGTTTTCTGTGAAGATGATTGGAGTTTAGATTCATGAGTCGTTTTCACTTTAGTGGGTCCCAGGCCATAGACATATTAGGGTTTCCAGAAGAAGATAGGACCACTTCCAGTTAGGATTATTAAGATAAAGATGATTATCGAGATGCCATAGCCGGAGTTCTCGCACTTTTAAAGGCAACTATAAAGAAACGTCTATTGCAGACCACATAAGGTATCACTAACTAAACTCTAGTTCTGAGGTGGAAGAATTAAAGTGACTAACAAGCCTCCAAGAATGTAATATCTCGAGGCAAGACTACACTTGACTCTACCCTTAAACTTCAACTTATTCTACTTATAGGTGTCAAACCTTGGATGCCAGTGTTGAGATGTATTCGGCTGAATCCTTATCTTTGCGCCTACAGGCATGGATATATGTTACAGTGGTGGCAACAGGTTTCGCTAGCAAGATGTCTTATAACTCGTTAATCACACTGCATCACAGCCAAGAGTCTACATCTGCGTAGGTACCACTAAATAAATACCTCAGAAGCACTACTGCATTCCCCTGTCATTGGACACCTCACTTGCGTACTCAAATGCCACAAATGCCATACAGAACCAGACCGTCGCAGGGACATACAATCTTCATCATCACTACGCACACACACCTACACGCAAAGAACAAGCAAGCAAGCACTACTCTGCAGGAAATCAATCTTCAGAAGCAAAAAAGTATGTTCAAAAAGTAAAACGAGAAGGTAAAGCCATCATCATCACCATCAGTCATAACCGCATTTCCACCCAACTTCTATCCCCGACGAATCAAAGTAGCAAGGAAAGAACACTGCACTTCATCCCATCCTCGTTGGTGCCACACGTCGATTGATCGCAGGGAAGTCACGGTATCACCGTCGGCTGCAGCGTGGTTCTTGTCTTGAGGATTGTCGGACCGGTGTCAGGGGTGATGTATTTAGTGCTGGTGTTCAATGGTTAATTTCCTACGTTCTATTCCAGGGGGCTATGAGAGATAGAGCATACCTTGCACTGGGAGCAGTTGCAGGAGTTGCAGTCGCCGGAGCAGCAAGAGTTGCAGCTGCAGGGAGTCATGGTTGCAGAGAGATTGGTATGAACGGGATTGTTCGAAGGAATGAAAGTAGCAGAGTAGTTTGATTCTAAGAGAGTGGTTGTCTGATTCTATCAAGGTACTCTAGCGAGAGCAGGCAGGAGTGAGGTTTATATATCTTCAGGTCACCGCCGATCAAGGCCTATTTCCTACCCAAGGCCAGGATACAGTTCAGAACCCCCACCAATCCATCGACCCCCATCAGCCACGCATGATACTGGACGTCTGCTGACCAAGGTCGCAAAAAGAAAAGAAAAGAAAAAGCCAAGGAAGACAAAAAGCAGGTTGATACACCCGAAACCCGCATGGTTGGACATAGGTCGACAGGTACCCCCCACCATGGCCGAAAGTTTGCTTCCCTTAGTATTATCGGACCATTTGAATGGACTCGCGCTGGCAGTAGTGAGGTTTGATCGGGGCGCTTGCAGAGACGACGATCTGCGTTATTTTTCTTTGCATTTGGTGACCCTCCTTCGCTGAGGTCATGGGAGCTTGCGATGGAGGGTGAGATACTCATAGATCGGCAACATGTACGACGGTTTTGATGCGATTATAGGTTGTTTTTTGCTTGTCCCGGTGAGGAACGCATGGATACGTTGCCGGAACTATCTGGCTATGATGCTACAGCACTAAACTATCTATCCTGTTCTGTCGGAGTACAGGAGATGACCATGTTGCTCTGTTGGAGGGTCTTCCGTCATGCCACGTTGTGGGTGGGAGTGGGGAGGTCTTGGGAAGTGAGGCAGCTAGTGAGAGGCTTTTGCGCTGCTTTTCTTGAGGGATTTGATTGATTGACGGAGTTACTAGTAGGTTCTTTCTTTCGTTTTGTCCAATTGTGGAGCTGGGAAACTTGGAACCTTGCAGCTATTTATGATGTCTGGGTGGTTTTCCTTCATGCATGTCACACATGCGTGGCTTTGTCTGGGAGGTGGGGAAGGTAGTAGAATCTCGATTTTGAAGCTGCTTTCTGAGAGCACGGCCGGTACGAAAAGTGATTCAATAGAATAAAGAGATCAATAGTTGGTCTATCTCAGTAGAATCGCAAGCCCCATCTAATCACTACCTTTTCTTCACCTTGAGTTGTACCGTAGCTGTTTCCTGTGATCTTTGAAACAAGACGCATCGAGCCTTAACACAGATAATGGACCGTAAAGCCATCTGATTAGCCTTCTCCTGGAGGTTATTGGTCCACAGCCCCGGTGATGGTTCCATGGTCCTTGGACTGGTCCGAGAAGCCCCGTCGATATGAGTTGCGTTACGCGGAAGTATGTCGTCCGCCGCAAAGGACCAACAGACGAGAAAGCCGCCGAGGAACGGTTTCACACCGGCCCACGCGCGGGTGCCGCAGGAAAAGAAAAGAAAAAGTTACGTTGGTGGATTATGCAGGAAATCTTCGGACGGTTCCGAGTTCACAGTAATGTGGAATGGGGGCATGTTCGGAGGGTAAGGGGAAGAGAATCGGGTGATCGAATCGGAGGCAACGACGATAGCAAAACTCTACAGCGGAAAAGAGAGAATCTTGTCAACATTGCGGTTCGAAGTTGACTGCACATATCCAATCTCTGTATAAAAATGTGATCCCATGATCCCGACATACCCCGCCTTTTGGGTGCCTGAGGACAACCAGTCACGAGAGGCATAGGCCCTACAGACACTCAGAGGAACGGTTCCAGAGAGGTAGACTGAAAGGATTTCCTACGTTGAGAACTACTGCCAGGTACTCTCAATGATAATGGTGACTCAATCTATTCTTGCTTGAATTGAAGCCTATCACTGTATTCAGATACACACAAACGAAACCCCATCCCTGCAACTCCGATTCCAATTTAATGCATGATCTTCTCACAGCGAGTCAAGAGGCGTTCCACTTATTTCTGCCAGAGGATAACAGTCAGTGAAATCACTACGACCCAGGTAAACCAGAGATCCAGGACACTTACGGGGCACTGGCACTGGCCGGCGGGGCACTGGCAGGAGGCGCCACAGCTGCAACCGTGATCGGAACCTATTAGGGTTGATGATTAGCAAAGTCGTATTTCTGAATTAGAAATCGCAGAACAGGGCGAAACTCGAATTCTAGTCGAGGAAGAATCATATCTTGGGCAGGGAAATGCAGATGGGCGAGAAGCGAGGATATGGGACAAACAACCCCGCTATTACCCCACCAATAAAGGGAAAAAAAGCAACGACGGAGTTACGACTAACCCATGGTGTATGGAAGGACGGTGTTTGATTTCTTTGAAAAAAGATCGAAAGTGATCGTTCTCGTAGGCAGATGATTTGGAGGAGACTTGAGAGAGGAGTTGAGAGAGCGAGGTGGAAGGGTCGTATTTTATAGGTGTGAAAAGGGTATTTATAGCCGCGGCGACGGATGCGTCTCTTTGATTGAATCTCCATCGCCCCATCGAACCCGCTCCCCTCTCAGTAGGGCGCTTGGACACGAGCCCATTTCTACGTGACAATTTCTCAGCTTAACTCACCCGTTTAATCGCCACTGACCACACAAAGCCGTTATCCTCGTGCCTGCGTTACACGGAGGCCTGAAAAGCTGCCAAAACCGGACACGGGAAGGCATACTGTGTAGATCCAAGATCATTATTAGTAACGTTCCTTAACCAGTACAAATAACAAAATCCTATACAGAGACCACCCTACAGTGCACCGTATCACAGCCACTATCTCATCGCCAACATGCACAACGACGAGGCGATCCATCGCATCTCGTGCTTGTGTGGAAAAGCGGCGCAAGAGGTTGTACTAGGGGCAGACCCTACTGTCCTCAATTTATGCCACTGTACGGCGTGTAGGGCAATCACAGGGCAACTATATTCTTCATATCATCTTCTACAGACTCGTCCATTGAACATCGACCGCTTCTGCGAATATAGACAATCCGCCGGCACCAGCCGATATTTCTGTAGGACCTGTGGCGCCCATGTATTTGCGCATCTGGAGCATACAGGACAGTACTTCGTCGCAGCTGGACTGATAGTGGAGGGGCCTCGTCGAACCAAAACCATACGGCATTGGCGAACGAGGGATACCCAGGATGGCGGTCTGGCTTCCTTTCTTCCCGGTGATTCCAAGGAAACAGTGTCCGCATGTTGGCTTGAGCTCGGCTCCAACAACCAACCCAAACATTCCGCCGAGATACCGCCGGCGGACGACAGGAGTCAGAGCTTGCGAGCTCGTTGTCACTGTGGGGGCATTGTGTTCTACATCAGTCGACCAGACTCCACTTCCGTTCAGCCATCCTCCCCGTGGCCGGACCTGTTAGTCCCTTATTATAAGAGCTCATCAGAAAACGCCCAGGATGTGAAATGGTGGCTTCGAGATAGAAGCTCCCGGTACTTAGCTGGAACCTGTGCCTGTCGATCTTGTCGGCTGGCGAGCGGATTCCCTATTCAAGCGTGGGCATTTATCCCCAAATCAAATCTTGTCAACGCCAGCGGGTCACCTTTTGTGTTCACTGAGACTACGATGCAGCGGTATGAAAGCTCTCCCGACATTTATCGAGAATTTTGCAACCGCTGTGGTGCGACAATCTTTTGGCATTGTACAGAACGGCCACTAGTAATAGACGTGAGTGTCGGGCTACTTCAATCCAACCACGGCGCCAGAGCTGAAGAATTATTGGAATGGTATCCTGGGAGAGTGAGCTTTGCAGAAATGGCAGGGGATCCGCCGTTAATGCAACGGTTGGAGTCTGGGTTGAAGGGGTGGTCGGAGAAGCAGGGAATCGGCGGGAAATGAGCGTTCTTTCTTATATTCTCGTGGATGTACGGTTAAAAACGAGCAAGGGTAATCCACTTTCACCGCCTACCCAATAAAGGTCTGGTATGTCGGCCCAAAAAAAAA